TATGCAACAAATGTAGAAAAATTTCCAAGGCTTTCTCCTTAGAGATGTTGCAACCTTTAGCAATAGTTTGTTTTTTCCTCACACTATGTTCTCACTTGCATTCCTATCTGCTAAGCCGCAAGAATTTGACCTTTTTACATGTTAGTGGAGAATGGAATGATGTTTTGCCTTCCTCTAGGATATCTAAAGGTTTGAAATATGTCAAAGATGTTTTGCTTTCTTGTTTATGCGAGTTGTGATAAACTTGAAAAAATGGTACTCCCGAATCAATTTATTTTGCTTAGTTTTGGTATTAGTGATCCATGGTTGGTTGGAGCAGAGTCTAACATGATTAACCATGCTGGTGAAAGGAACGGAGGGAAGCCTCCTAATATGAAATTGGTTTTGGGTATACAAACATTTTTATGAGAATTTATTCTTCTTCCCCTCTTGTGGAAGGTTTTGGGTATACAAAAATTATTGTGGAGCTTGTTTATACAAAGAATCTTACAAGTCTCCTTTCTTTTGCTTTTTTTTTTTTTTTTTTTTTTTTTGTTCTAGCAAGATTAATGCCATGAGAAAGTGGCTTTCTTCAATGGTTAATTCATTTTGGATTTTGGTCATAACAAATTAAAATCCAATAGTTGGTTCATTCGGTATGGATTATGGTTCATTCGATTTAGATTTTCATCAATGCTTGAAGATTGTGATCAAGGAAAGCATACAGCTTCTCTATTATTTGCTTTTTTTTTTTTTATGAGTAACATTGCTTGTTCATGAAGTTTCAAGTATTATCGGTTTTCTTTCATATAAAACTCATACAATTCATTGTCATTTTATATTATTATATCTTAACATATTTCGCTGTACTTTTGTAATCTTTAATTAGTTCCAATATGTTGAAGTTTAAAGAATGGGGGTCCGTCAGCAATGTGGGATAAGAAAGTTACAAATATTTTTTCGATCTTCACATTAAAGAGATTGAGGCTGGTAATAGACCTACCACATACTTTAACAAGGAGGGATGACAAAACATTTTGAAGATGTTCAAGGAATTGACAGAAAGGAAGTATGATATGCTAAAATTCAAGAACAAGTGGGATCAATTGAAGAAGGACTTGAAGTTATGGAATGAGTTGAAAAGGAGTTCCACTGGGTTGGGTTGGAATCCCATTAAGCACACCATTGATGCTTCAGATACATTCTCTTTTTAATAATTGCAGGACGATGAGCTTCAGGTATTCAGGGAAGTCTGGACAAGTGATGTGTCGCTGCGGAATGTCGTCCTTGCTACTCACTTCACGCCGGCAACATAGCTGCGGGCGGCAGTTTTATAGGTGTTCATGATAGAAACACGTATCGGACGACTGCGACTTCTTTAAGTGGACAGACAAACCTTCAGATTCTACGTTATTCCAATCGTACAATGTTGCACGGGGTTCGACGGTGTCACAATCAGAAACCATTGCTCGTGGTTCGAGCGTTTCCCAACCGCCTAATGTTGCTCGGGGTTCGATCGTGCACCAACCGAGTAACGGTTCTCATGAGATGTTACTTTTGCATGTTAAATTGAATGTTATAATCTTATTACTAATTGTAGTTTCAATATGTATTTTGATTTTAACAATATGTATTTTGATTTATTTTAGATGAAGTCAGCATCAAAATTCTGTACTATTATGAAATTACAAATTTGTCATGCAACAAATCTATATATATATATATGTGTGTGTGTGTGTGTGTGTGTGTGTGTGTTTGTAATTTGTGCTAATTGTGTAATAAAATAAGGGTTATAAGAAGTTCTTCACTTCGGTTTCTTCAGCTCCTGCATATTTTCTTCTGTTTGAGTTTATTTTCTTCTTATTCTCTCTGTGGAAAGACTTCTTTGTTTCACGTACATTTTAATGTTCTTATAATATTAAAAAAAATATATCACACGACAAAATATTACTACTAACGTTTTTAAAATATACATATTTTCAAATATAGGTAAATTTATATTAATATAAAAATTCAATTTTATTTGTTAGATAGAACACAATAGAAGAAAAGGATTCATGTAGCTTATATAATTAAATTAATTTATTTTAAATTAGAATAAAATGTAAATTATTGATTACAATTTATGTTACACATAATTTAAAAATAATTTTTTGAAAATTAAAATTTATAATGTTATAATGATCCTTTGTCTACAAAAAACTGCAAACCAGTTGTTTTCCAAACGCACAAACCAAACAGCTAAACAGCTAAACAGCTTCTCCAGAACAAGGGCAAAATGGTCATTTATATAGAATCAATTGTTTTTAAACGCATAAATCAAACAGTCAGTCAGCTTATCCGGACCAGCTGTTGATCAACAATTTATCAAAATAAGTTGTTTATCTGGATAAGCTGGATAAGCTGAAGCGGCCCCAAACATACCCTAAAGGAAAATCTGCAACCGCTGGAAGGACCTGCAGGTGGTCGACAACTATGGTAGAGTCTCTAGGGTTAAAACCATGGCTCTGATACAATGTCAGAATAGAACTCAAGGTAAATCTTATTGATGCAAAGAGGAGTACGAATATTCATTACAGGATCTACTAGTAAGAAAACAAATAAAAACAGAATAACGGGAAAGGGAAAGTGAATAAAAGCAAATCAAAGCAAGAAATATGCATATTAATATTTTAATATTCTTATACGCGTGCGCACACCACCATTTATTTCTATGCATGCTTGGTCGTTATTATATATATAATCTGATTCAACCTTGATTTCGGCCGATTTTAGGGGCTTGTTTTGAGCTAAAAGAACAAAAAATTTTCTAATGTTTGTCCCCACATAGTAGATGGCATAAGGATTAAGCACCGCAACCTCTCCATCAACATATATTAAAACCCCTAAACACATAACGATGAAGCCCCACAAATTACACATTATGATGACACCTTAGGAGGAAGGTGCTTACCATTCAAAAGGTGAAAAATAAGTCAGTCGAATGAAAAAAATTAGCATATGAAACAAAGTTCTAGAAAACATTAAAGGTCAACTGGAGCTTCAAGAATTGGCGACATAAGAGGAATTCAAAAACTCCAAGAGAGAAAATATGAGGCCCCTAAATTTGAAAATCCAAAAATGGTAGATGAAAAGTTCGAGAGCACTAAAATGGAGAATCAAAGAACACCAAAGCAATGAATCTAAAATCACCAAGGCGAATAATCCGATAACCCTATGGAGGTCAATTGGAGAATTTTAAGCTCTAGGCATCTCTAAAGTTTTTTAAATTTCGAGCAATAAAAAATGAGAATTGGGCCTACATAGATAATTTGAAAAGGGCATTTTGTTCTTAATCCTAAATTATACCAAAATTTTCATTATCTTATCCATAAATGTGCCAAATTGCACCTTCCCTGATTAGCAAATGATACGAAAATAAAAACCACCGGACTGACTCAATCAACCAAGACAGACTATGGTTGAGCAAAGCGCCCATGACAGTGGTTTGACAGTAGTATGGCGAAAACATCCACAAGAAAAATCTTCTATCAATGAACAAAATATAACAGTCTAAAGCTCTCAACAATGCAAATTTAATGTAGTTAACATATTAAAATTCTAGTCAAACGTGTTGTTACAAATAGCTAATGGCTTTGCAGAAGCGGAAATAAGTTTAAAGTTTAGGAATCAAATCTAGCCATTAAAAATGGCAATCATATGCTACCACTTTTTCTTGAAATGTTCAACTCCTCGAGACTCAAGAACAATCTGTCATCATTGATGCTTTGTGAATTAGAGGACTATAGAAACCCTACGAAGTCTAGAATGTCCAAATTAAAGTGACTTGGTTACACAAAATAGGCTAGATTTCAGGCAAATCCATCACTATTGTCATGCATCTCGTGGTTTCGATCATTGAAATATAAGTTTGCAAAATTCATAGTTTTATTGGTACATAGCTAAGTGAAGGAAGGGCGTGAAATCGGAGAAATGACAATGAGATTGTGTTTGTTTAGTCCAACTAAAATTTAGAGATCAGAAACACGATTTTGCTTTGAATTTGATATGATATTTAGACTTTGATGGACTCATTTGGTGGGTTGATGACATGCATATGAGATGTTTCATTGAATTTTAAATGTCGACACAGTCAAAGGGTCTAAACCATAAAATATGACCAATGTTAATGACTTGTTAAAGATATGGGTTCAAACAGTAGGGCAAGATCTAACTCAACTTCATCCTGATTTCTATCATATTTAAAACAGCGTCTTGTACTTTCTCATGTGTGAATGCACTCACTGTTCCTATACTATAAAAGTGTTTCTCTCTCATCAAAAAAACTCATAGTTTTATAAAAATAAAGTTCATGTTTTCCACAGTGCAATAAATGATGCCAAGTTTGCTTTTCCGATAATTGCCATAAGGGGGTGAGGTCGGGTATTCAGTCTAGTTCTTTCTCTTCTTTTATAATTTACATTATTAATTGGCCACGTGTCTTTTGCTTTGGATATCCACCAGTAAGATAAATGTGAATTTCAAAGAAACAGCTCGGTCATTGAGATATACGGAAAGGATGAACTTAGCTCTTATTGTGTCATTTCATTGATAAGCTACTTTCATTACCATTCCCCATTGATTTCTCATGAATTATTCAGTCCTCTGAAGAATTTATAATTTTTACATGCTATTTAGTTAGATCTGACAACGTTCCCATGAATATCACTCACACGGCAATTTATGACTCGATTTGCATCATTTAATTAGCTCGATTAAATATTCAAGCAAACCAAAAAATAAAATAAAATAAAATAAAATAAAATAAATAAATAGGGCTATTAATATTTAAACTATGCACTTCTTCAATTTGAAATATTGCAGGAATTTCCACCTATCAATCATATTTGTTATGAATTTTGATTTCTGTGCAGAAAATAACAAATAACAGTAAAGGAAATTAATTATAAGAAAAATGGCCTGACATACTAATCTTATGAAATAACTGTTAAGAAAAGGACTAACAAGAATTTTTCTCTGACCGGTCTCTAATTATATTTATACTGCTGACACCCTTAATTTTTGCAAGCTGAATAATGCACTGTCCCACAATGCTAGTTGCGCCATTTTGCACAATAGAATCACCTAAGTAGAATTCAAATAAACTAGTAAGCACTAGCAGATCAATAGAGCCCAAAGATTGATGAATTCAGCATTGCAATTAAATACCATAAGTTAGTTCAGAAAAGTTCTCCAGCATACACAAAGCCGTCAGCGGATTTACAGTAATTGTAGCAGCATACTCCATAGGGATGTCCTTGCTAACTTTGTGCCAGGCACTCTCTTCTTTGACAATGTATGTCTGCCATGTCCCTAAGTAGCATATACTTTGTTACAGTCAAGAAATAAAAGAAAGATTTATATACCGTAAGAGCATCAAAGCTTAAGTCTAAAAATCTAAACTTCTAATCATACATTTAATTTAAATAGATATATAAATTTAAACAAAATGAAAAACGCAGCAGAAAAAAACAATCTAGAAACTCATAATAGAAGAGAAATAGATTCACTTTCATTTCGTTTCATTCCGAAAAACAATGAATACAGAAGGTACCAAATGATGGAGGTGATGGTATCACCCAGTCACCAACTGCAAGGTTACTCACTGCGGAGCCCAGTGAATGCACTTCCCCAACTCCCTCATATCCTGCAACTGCTGGTACCTCAGGACGAACAGGATAAACTCCTGTAACAGGAAAATACATAACTGAAATACGAAAGCTGATAATATTAAAGAGAAGAGACTTAAATTTGATTATTCAACTAGATCATTGAAAGAAAGGATTCATATTAAATGCAGCTTTATATAGAAATCTTGCCTTATCGAAATTATTTGATGCTGGCAAGATGAATCCTATTACAATTCAGTCTTCTTAAGTGCTAGATAAAACATATATTATTCTATACAAGTTTTTTGCACAATTTGTAAACACATTAATCATTAGCCGTATCTTCCATCATAGTTTCCACATAATTTTATATATCTATCATACAGGCAATCCATCTAAGTCTAATTTTCCCATTACAATTCAAGAGCAACACTCTCAACATTACTTTAATAAAATCGTATAATACTCCATTAATAGTTTTATAATAGCGGGGGATTTACAAACATAGCACTTAGAAGTTTATTCATTTACATATCAAGTGCCCTGCCCAAACGTTTATATTTACATATATAACACCTAAAACTTAATTAAACATAGAAAAGTACTTTGCCAATGAAGTGCCATGAAATCACAAAATCAATTCTCCCTTAGGTGATGGTGGAATATCACCATCCTATCTTGCAGTCCTGCCCCCTCTGGTGACTTGTCACCTTTCGTAAAAATCGTGAGTGTACTACTCTCATGGACCCGTTGATAATATCTTCTTCGAAACTTTCGGCCCCTCTTTTTTTTTTTTTTTCTTTTATCATTTGAGAGAAAAGAGGTTTCCATTCCTTCTCTTATGGGCTCGTCTTTCTTAACAAAAGAGCCAAAGGAAATTTTGGTAGAGGAATCGAACATGAATGGGAAGACCATCATGCTGTGACAACTTAAGATTGAAGGGCCAAGAACTCCTGAGGAATAGATAATTTTGGCCTCCTATATCTAAAATACTGGCCCTAAAAACTAGAGACATGTTCTGCAGTGAAGTATATTTTTTCTTCGATTTATTTGAGAAAACGACATTAGAATATTCCATCAATTTCATTTTTTTAAGTTAAAATTGCTCATCTTTTCATTCTTAATCCGCCAATATAAGCTGTCGCAAACTTACCGTGCTCTCCATAGTACACCATGCATCGGCCCACGAGCTTGTCGTGGATTAATCTCATAGTCTTCACTACCCGTCATAGTCATCATGTGAGCCTGCCCTTTGGTTGTCTGATGCTTTTTCGTACTTCACAGTGAATGGTTAATGGAATGCTATTTTTTATTTATGGTTGGATTTTGAGTGTTATTTATTTAAATATAATGATTTGGATGGGCATCATCCACACAAAAACTTTTCAAGGAGTAAGAATTTTTATCAGAGATGGGCATCATCACCAAGAATGATTTATGTGAGTCAACACTTAATGACATGATTTTTTTTATTTTTTATTTTTTTGTTTAATAACATTATTGTATGGGAAACATAATTATAAAGAATAATGGAGACCAAAAAAATTGTAATGAATTTTTTTTAAGATGACATTGAAGAAATTAAGCATCTTATCGTCATATAAGAGATCAAGTAAGTTAGGGGGGCTGACAAATTAAAAGATGCTAAATTTTAAAGTATATTTATTTGAATTTAGTGGATTTTTGTATCATTTTTTATTAATGATGGGTTAGATCACCAAGAATGATTTATGGAGAGTCGGTGCTTACTAATATTGTTGTATATGGGATAGAATCACTAACAATGATGGAGATTGAACAATTACAAGATTTTCTCTTTTTAAAATGGGAAAAAAATAAAAAAATTAGCCCTCTTATAACTACATAAGAAATAAATTTAGGGCCGAAAAAAACAAACTTAAAAAGAAAGATTAATTTTGTGGTGCATTTCTTTAAATCAAGTTAGTAGATATTTTAATAAAATCCCTCAAAATCTAAAAGAATTTATTATACAAAGCACTACTTTTAAAGCCAGATACATAAAAAGAAGTGAATTCTCTAAGGAGTAGAGAAATAAGAAATTAACGTGAATGAAAAAATATTACTCCCACTGAAACCAATATTCGATAAAATCAATGAGTTAATGATCTATAAAAAATAGAAAGAAAAAAATTATTTATTTTGTGCATAAGAAAAAAAAATGGCAGTCATATTCTACTATAGTATCCAATGTCCCAACCAAAAATTTTTAAAGAGTAAAATTTCTTATCGAGGATGGGCTTGATCACCAAGAATGATTTGTGTAAACTTAATGCTTAATAATATTCTTGAATATTGGGATATTGGAGGATGAAAAATGGCAAGGATTTTTTCTAACGGTCACATAAGATACCAAAATAATTTAGGGCCAACAAACCAAAAAGATATTAGATTTTATAGTGCATTTAGTAAAATTTTTTAAATTAATTCACATCAGGGATGAGTTGGATTGTAAAGCATGATTTATGGAGGGAGTTGGTGCTTAATAATGGTGTCGTGTGTGGGATATAATCACAAAGAAAGAAGGAAGCTGAACAATTGCAATATTTTGATTTTCTGGGATGGGAGGGAATAAAAATTCCACTTGTGTGTGAAATTTAATTTTAGTCAACCCAGCAATTAAAATTAAAAAAGAAAAAAAAGTTTACATTTCTTTAAATCAAGTTAGTAGGTTTTTGGATAGAAACCATCTACACTTACAAATAAGGAAACAATCATCTTAAAGAACATGATATAATGAAAAGAGAAAGATAAAATTGTTTTTGAGTCGGCCGGTATCTAGTTACAAGTTGATTCAAAAAAATGGTATCCTAACGACACACATAAAATACAATTCCCAAAACTATAGAAAAGCAACTATCTTTATAAAAAAAAAGGTGATCAAAAAATTAAAGAGGGGCTTCTCTTCTTTTCTAGCAACTTAATCATGATACAAGGTTAAATTTTCATAAGCAGTTTTGAACAAAAGCAATAAAAGGGCTCCTCCTTTCAACTATGACTCTCCGACTCAAGTTATTATTTTTCTATCTAACATTTCTTGGATTAGTTTCCTTACCTTATCATAGACTACCCTTCCTCTAATGGATGTTTCTTCAAATTTAATATTAAAATGAAATGAAAAAATATAGAGAGCAAAGTATTGAGCGAAGTGAATGAGGTTAACTCAAAAGCAAGAATTCAGTGTCCTCTATTTCTATATCAAAAAAAGGATCCAATAAGACATATAGTTTGAAAGAAAACTTCCATTCATCTTGATCATTTTATTGTTAGACATCCAAATTGGGATAGAAAAAGACAATAAAAAAGCATGTTCCACTCATAAGCAATTTATAGGAGACTTGGTTTACATAACTATGGTGAAAATGGAACTAGAGAAAATGAAATGGTTGAATAATTGAAAAAAAAAATTGCATTATTCAGAAAACTCATAGTAAATGTCAAAATTATACATTGAATAAGTTATAGACAAAAATACTTATTCATTAGGCAATGCTTGACATTAGGTGATGGAGAGATCCATGTGCATAGCCAACTTTCCTTCCCAACATGTGTTTCAAAGTATAGAAGTGCCAATAGTTGAGCAAAAAAAAAAAGAAATAATCAAACATAATCCATATATATGTATATAGCCATAACTATGTGAAAACATTCCATTCATTAAATAAAAGTCATTTAAGAATATTACCACCAGATTAGAACAACAAAGCAAACTATTTAATCATACTGGCAAAGAAATATTTAAGCATCAACAGTATAAAAAAACATTTTACCACAATGAATGACATTTGTTTGGCTTAGCATCAAGCTGAGCAGATTCCTCTAAACTTGTGCACTAAAGAAAAACCATATGCATATTTTCTTTAGGGTGACTTATTTTTCTATGCTTTTGTTGTTAAAATTTATTTTCCTGATAGCAGCTTATATTATATTTTCTCAAAAAATAGCTTTTTCAAAGTAAACTTTTCCAAATGGACATTAATTTTTGTTGACTGCTTTTTCTATCATAAAAAGAGTAAGGAAAGTAATCTTCGATGAAGGGAGGAAGTAATGAAATAAAGTTAAAGGCAAAAAATCATGCCACAAATTAAGAAAAATAGGCCAACATTTCACAAAAACATACAATAGAATATGCATAGGCAGAAATTTTTTCTTACAGACAAAGAATAAAAGCAACAGACCTTCCATCCTATTTATATCTGAGGGATTGATTGGAGACGCCATCATTCTGACACATACATCATTTTCTTTTATTTCCACTGGTGGAAGATCGACCATCCTGATGTTAAAAATACAGAAATTCATCAAATTGGAAGTTTGCTAACCAATTGTAACGCGGTAACATGATAAACAGATGACAAAAAACAAATAAAACAATTTCCGCACACACGAAAACTCTTATTTGTCAGAAAACTCTTTGTAGGAAGCAAAGCTTGTGAAATTTGTGGCTCCCTTCACTTCAGAACTATGATTCGACAGTAACAAGTTCTGATTCTTCGGTAATGGAAAACCTAAACTCCACCTCGCCAAGTATCTTGATGACTTCACGAAAAGAATTCTCGCCATTAACACAAACATTGCACTTTTATGAATAAAAGGAACCTATGGCTACTAAATTTCAAATTTGTAGGTATGAAGGCATTATAAGATTCCCCCTCCAGCAGAATAACAAGCCCACTAGAAATATGGCAAAAGACGTCCGATTTCAAACCTCAAAACCTGGTCGGGCGACCCATGTTGCTCGTAGACTAAAGCCTTGGAAGGAGGGGAAGCAGCGGCGGCGAATGCCCGTATGGTGTTTGATAAATTGCGCGAAAGAGTGCAGGGCGACGGGCAATGCCGCCATGTGCTAAATTTGCTGAGATGCATCTTCCTTGCGATTGACAAGGCAGAGCAAGATCGACGATGAGTCAGAGAAAAAAATGGAGTTTTAGTGTTAGTAGCCTCAGCCAGTGCGAGAACCCAGAGCAGGAGAAAAGTAGGCCTGCGTAGATAAATGGACGCATTATAAACTCGATGTAACCTCCCTAACATATCTGTGACCTGGACTAACAAATAAATTTCAGGCTTTTATTTTTATATTTATGTAGGTTATATGTGGATTATGTGAAAGTTATATAAATATTACAGGAGATATAACGAGAATATAATATCGATATAATTTGAATATAATCTCTATTTTGTACACAGCTGCGGCACACTTCTACGAGGAAAGACGTGAGAAACTGTTATTTGTCCATTTGCGAAACCGAAGATTACTTAGCTTACCGCATGCAACAATTTTTTTAGATTTTAATGAATAAAAAACAAATTTAGAACTAATAAGTTTTCATAGCATTATAACAAAATTGTTTGAATTAAGAAAAAAGCAAAAACTTGGAAATTTAAGCAATAAGAAAAATAAATAAATGCTAAATAATTTAATTCAAATTATTTTTTCTTTCTTTTAAATATATTTTTCTTGATGATTATCCTTCAATTTTAATTGACTGTATTTATATTTTCAAACAAAAAAAAATCTATAATTGTATTAGATGCATAATTATGAAAAGATAGCCCAAAAGAAGTGATCTTCAGTTTATATATAGATATTAAGTTTTCCTATCTCCTCTTAGACAAGTATTTTATTTTTTTTTTCGTTTAGAAAGTTGAATTTGAAGTACAAATAACACCTCATATATTAGTCTTTAAACTTCAAATCTCTTAAACAGGGCCAAAGTTCTCAAACAATTGACCGAAAACTAAAAGCCAAATAGCTTAATTTTAACTATTAAATAATGAAAGAAAATAGCCATGCTAAATGATGGAGCGTTTCCAAAAGGATAAGAGGTTGGTGAGGACTAGAAAATGACTTTGTTAAAGGAGAAATTAGTTTATGAATGTACAATTACTCATTATAAGATTGTCTTTATTTTAAGAGGGATACATAAGCAATCATAGACATAATCATTTCATATAATAACAGAGCATTATCATCCATGAGACCAGGACACACATAACCAAATTAATGAGCTCATTAATCGCCACCATCAATTAACTCTTTGGTAGCCAACACCAAAAAGCATGTATAAGAATTCACCAACTACTTCCTCAAGTGTTCTCATCGATGTTAGCTGATGCAAGTGTGTTAGCATGAATATCTCCTTGAACTCATTAGCAATCGCTACTAATTTTTAGGTTCCCCCACTGAGAGAACAGATAATAATTTTATAAGATTGTTATCATATCAAATATTTTGAGAATCTTACGCATTTGAGATTGTTTAATTTAAACATATATTGGAGAGATGAAATTTTATTTTAATGTTGACACGTCAAATGATCGGTTATTACATATAGACCCAAGCTTTTTTAGTTAAAAAATAAAAGAATTACATCATTGATGTATCTCACTCAATTTTATTTATTTTTTGTTCAGTTATACTCCCAAACAAAATTACCTTTTAATATTAGTGCAACGGTTTAATTGTCTGATTTCATAACGATTTTACAATTTCAATTTGAGATTCATATATTAACTTGTTAATTATATAGTTCTAATTGGGCTTTCAAAAGGGATCACTAGTGGTTATTTTGGCAATCCTTTCTAATTAAGGGCAGAATTGATACATCACTTTGAGATAATAAAGCATTAATGATAAATATAAAATGGCTTCTTATTTGTAAATTGTATTTGAAAGGATATTCCTATTAAATTAAAATGATAAAGATTCACATTCAAGAAATGTGTCCAATATAATAGTTTGTATCCCTTATAATATTCTAAAAGTCAGTCTTATGACTTACACCAAACATAAACTTAAATGTCTATTTATCATTATGAATAAATGTCCAAAATACACTTGAATAAAAACCAATATTGAATACATTTATCTATAATTAATAATGCCTAATAAATAATCCTATATAAAAAAAATAATTCATAACTAGATCATGACATTACATAAATCATTTAAATTTAAGGAATATTTTAAATATTGAAAAAAAAAGATAATTATAGGTCCCTAAAATATATTTTAATAAGTAACACGATTATTATGTCCAAGATATTGACATAAAATACAAATAAATTGATCCAACTTTTTTTGTAATCATGTGCACACTATGAGTTAAGTAAATGATTAAATATTTTTATTTGAGAAAATTCATCAAAAAAATGCATTGTTTATTAAAAACAAATGTGCAATGGGAAATAAGATAGATCCTCATGTGTAATGGTCATAAATATTGTTGTTGTGCAATGCAATCGTGGTTGGAGAGGAATTTATATCATATCAAGGTGAAACTCTCGAACAATGTGACATAAAGATTATTATGGCACGAGTCCTATTCTATTGTAGTGGTAAAGCTTGAGATTTATTACAGTTTAGGCATTTTCATGATTTTGGTCTTGTTAGCATATATCTTGCTGCAACAATGATCTTGTGAGGAAAGGGCTCACGAGACTTCCCAGAAAAAAAGTGCCAACCTTTCAATTAAATATATAAAATCTATTTAAAAAATGATTAATCATTGGATATATAAACTTCTACAAAGATTTACTTTTTCTTATTTGAAAGATTATTAGTATTTATCAAAATAAGATAAAGGAGATTAAACTCTTTTATGATCAAATTATAATTGAATTATATCATTTATTGGCTAATGTTAGCACTTATTCAAACTTTAGTTAACTTATATAGTCGGTAGAGAAATGCTAATTAATATGTTTCAATAATAATGTTTCTAACTGATGACCAGATATATTATAATTTGAATATAATATAAGCATATTAATGATGATCGATTAAATACTTGAAGGTCATATTAGTGAAAATATACATTAATTACCTCTTGATTAGGGTTACCGAAATAACAATTAAGTTCCGCTAAGTTTTAAGCATCAATTTTTACTTAATATCTAAAATACAAATAAAATGATAGATCAATTATGGTGATTGTGTTGAGTTATGGAAGTCTCAAACAATGATTGCATTATTACATATAAATGAAGACATATTTGTGTTTGTCAACAAATCCCTCACAATTAGATGAACCTTGAGGCACCTTAAAAGTTCCTTTAGTGTTAGGTAAATTTGTTTTTACCACATGAATCCCTTATGTGACCACATGCTAACATTATATATTAGGAACCAGTTTGTTTCCAATTGGCTCTATCTAATCTATAGATCTCAAATTGGTACACAAGGAAAAGATGTGTGTTAGATTTGATTGGTTTAGGTATCAATGAGCTCAACTTTAATATATGTAGATGTTGTTTGTGTAGGTTGCATGTCGATCATAGCTTCCTTAGTATACAATTTTGTTAATCTAACATATTCAAGCATTTGCTAGGTAACTTTATGTCATTATGAGATGCATGCTTCATATTGACATATATATTATATTGGATAAGAATTCGAGATAGAACCCTTTTCACAATCACTTTCTTGATAATAATATGCATGGATCTCTCCTTCAAGCTATGAGCAAAATGGCCTATTGAAAAATTTAGCTAATCAATACATATTATTACCACTTAAAAATACTTTTTTATGACTTTATTGGTGCACAAAAAATAAATAAATATTATTTCTAGAATATAAAAAATAAAGATTATTTCATAAGAGAAATTAACTCTAACTAGAAGCTAAATTTAAATAAAACATCTTAACTAGCTATATATATATACTGACTTTTTTATTATTGATTGAAAAGGGTGATTCAAGCTCTTAAAAAATGTTCAAATAAAATTGTCATTATTGAGTTAAATCTCTCCATGCATTTAAAGACTATCCAATGACATAAAATAAATTATCAAATGAAATGGGGATGATTGCTCAATTATATGAGCAGTGGATGTCCAATAATTATATTATTGAAATAATATCTTAGGATAACAAAATTTCATTCCCTTAGGCTAATAGTTTTCCCAAATGATAGCAGCTAGGTGATTATAAACCATTCTAGGATATTCTTCTTTATGCTTAAAATCCTAATAGCTAGGATCTAGTTTGGAGCTCAATAGTTTTGCTCATCTAAAATGAGTTTTTTTTATTATACAAAGAAAGTTGGCATTCATAAAGTTTATAATATATCCACTTGAACTCTATTAATCTAGCTTGTTGATTTTTACCATCTGCTTCATAACTACAACATCATTAAAAATATATTCCAATTACTTGAAAGATCTTGATCTTGAAAGAAAATGATGGTGAACTAGAGTGGTCATAACATTTATTTCATCTTATTATAGCCATTGTATATAGGCTTCTTTGAGGAATCTCTTCAATTCTAGCTTTTATTATGATTATTTTAATTACACTAGCCTTTCTCTTTACTTTAACCAACTTTATCGGCAGGATCACAAAATTTTTCATGGTGCCACTCCATTAAGTATACTATAAAGTGATCAGTTTAAGGGATCATGTTTTTAAAGAGGCTTGATGATAATCATTGTTATCATCAAGATCATTAGGGGCCAAACTTACTATTCTCTTTTATCTTATGGTTTATCAAATAGTTTGCCCCTTTAAAGAATTTCATTTTATCTTATGGTTTATCAAATATGGTTTATCAAATAGTTTGCCCCTTTAAAGAATTTCAATCGATGTATTGGAAAGAAGATGGGATAGAGGCAAAAGTGGATTATGAAGTCTTGAAGGATCATGTTTTTTAATGAGGCTTGATGATAATCATTGTTATCATCAAGATCATTAGGAGCATCAAGATCATTAGGGGCCAAACTTACTATTCTCTTTTATCTTATGGTTTATCAAATGGTTTGCCCCTTTAAAGAACTATCTTCCTTATATTTCAATCGATGTATTGGAAAGAAGATGGGTTAGAGGCAAAAGTGGATTATGAAGTCTTGAATTAATAAAGCACCAAGCACACACGATGGCTATTGTTTCATGAGCTTACCCTTTAAAATGGTAATAGTTGACTATTTTTGCGCTCAATCAAGCCATATGAATCCTTCAATATAGTGGGCCAGTAATCCATGAGTGTAGTAGGAACATTACTACTAGACCACCTCTTATATTGTTCAGTGTGTTATTGCATTTTCAGACTTCAACAATTGTTTAATGAGAGCATAAAATGTCATATCGATTAAAGTCAGCACTAAAACGAAGTCAATATATATACTTGCATTTCTATGCCATTTTGTGCCACCATTTTGGTGGATTAGCGTCAATAATTTTAATTGATATATACAATCTCTCGCCCTTTTTTATATGTAAAGTTCTATATCATACAATTTGTATTTATAATTTCTGCTAATCACCTTCATGATATCAATCATAAGAATATAAATAATCAATACCAACTAACTAATTCCTCCTTAACTATATGCACTTCTTCCACAATGTATATATATATATAGAGAGAGAGAGAGAGACCATGAACTACCATGATAAGACAAATGCTAACCATTACAAGGTAAGGTTATAGGAGGCCATGTATAACTATACCACTTAATGACACGACTAATTAACATTGCGCGTGCAACAGCTATAAAAATGGTCAGATATTCTCTCGTATTATTATTATGACCGATGAATTAAATTTGGTCATCGCCTTCCCCTCATTCCTGGGGAGATAATATCTCCCAAGAGGCCATCATCATTTGGAAGTACAGTCGGGAGCTCCGGCAATGGCTGGAGCGGTGAAGGCACCGGAAAATAAAGCTGCGGCGAAGGGAGCGGCAACAGGGGCGGCGGCGGAGATATATTGGCTAATAATGATGAAGTAGTTCTAATGTGGTCGTGAAAGCCGAGGGTAGCCGTGCGGGGAAAGGTAACGGTGTGGTGGCAATGCTGGCCTTCATAGGTTGTGATGACGATGGAGGGATCATCAGAAGACCGCTCAACACGCTTCTTTACAATGCATTTGCTATTTGTGCAACGGTAGTAGCTCCTGTAAATCAAACGAAAAATGGAAGATAGATCCACATATATCAGTGCAGAAAATTGATTTATGAGATTTTGATTCACTATAATTTATATGATTTAATAAATGCGATGAAAATTTTATTTCCTAAAAACTATATCTATAATAAACAACGTAGAAATAAAAAGAGGTATATTCTATATTGTATATTTTTTATAACTTATTCTACTGGCACGAGAAGAACATGACATGATGCATAATTACATCAAACGATATTAATAGATATATGTAACTTAACACTAGTGTATATCTTAAGAATTAATTCAAATTTTTTTTTACTGGCTTTGTTCATTTTATAGAACTCGAAGCGTGACTTCAGTTCAAAAAAAAAAAAAAAAAAAATCTTAAAATTAATTAAGGAACAGAGATGTGATATAAAGAATTATTTGTAGAAATCCTTGTAAATTCATTTTAATTATAGCATCCATTCGATTCGCAATGATTTATATTTTGGTGTATAAAAATTTTGTTCCGAAGAAGGTAAGAACCTTGATTTGAGACAAAATTATGTAAACTTGTTGTTCTCATTGCACAAACTGTTAGCAAAAAAAGTCAGCAGTAATGTCTTGTTATGATTGTGCAACTGACCTTGGAAATGGGCTGTTTTTGACTGCTTTCTGCCCATATTTTCTCCATCTATAGCCATCTTCAAGATGATCTACTTCACTCTTAGTCATGAAAGCAAATCTTGGTTGACGGACTCTCTTTTGAACTTTCTTACTACTTTTACTATTCCTGTAACCAGAATATTTTTCAGTAAATCCATATTTCATACTAATTGTTGTCTTGATTGATTCCCATGACACAGAAACACATCATTAATAACCATTTCAACATTCAAATGTGTGTAAATTAATTTGGGTAAAGGAGAATAAGGCATCTGATTCTCCAGCAGAAATGTAAAATGGAATAATTCAGACTTATTCTCCATCATCATTACTGCTACCGATCTTATGAGATAATATAGAAAATGTCATGTTGGTATATATTAAAAGGATTCACTTTTGATTTGAAAGATTACAAGAAGGAGACACTTGCAAAAATTATATTGAAGATAAATGATTTAAAATTTCACTAAGGAAATTAAAAACTTATAATCATGAAAATTGAATAGTAAGCCGTGCGCTTAGTTTCATTTAGGTAGAACAATAAATCAAATTTTACAAATTTGTAGCAAAAAGGGTAAAACAATATTTATTAATCAAAACGATAAATAAAACATGATATAATATCATTAGAATTATGAAAAAGCAATAAGAAATTAAAAAATAAAGTAAATTCCAAGTTTTTCAATCAGTCAATAATCATAAACCCTTTTGACTGATTACTTGAAGAAATCTTCAATATATTAGACAACAGAAAATTTTAGGAACAACTTTATTAAAGCAAAGAATTAATGAACAAATTAACTGTTCCGAACGGACACAAAGAATAATATGTTTGAGCTAAAATTATACAATCTTTTGTGTTCTTCATTTTTCCACGTCTCAGTTAATGAGATATACAATCTACAAACCGACCATGATTCATGATTGTCTAAACGTAAATAGCATGCATACATTTCACTAAATAAAAAGGTAATAGCATCCTATATATGCAATCAAATATATTTTTTTAAATCAATCAAAGTCATGAGGCGAACTACTGTTCATTAATAGCATGCTAAAAGTACAATCAATCATTGATGGTAAATAATAATTACCGCCTTGAATCATTTAACGCAAGGAAAAAAATAAAAACAATGCAGAGAATAACAATATATCTACGTATGTATTTCTGTAATATCTGAAGCCATTTACGTATCCATTAAAAAGACTTCATACAACAAAAACACATTTCGTAGCGCAGTGAAGTACTGAGTTGTTTGACTTTTTGGATTGAATAAGATTTTAGAGCCTTACATGCATATACCGCATAATTAATTCATATGTATTTGCATATCTAACCTAAACATTCATAAATATATATATAACCACTCAAATATTTAACATCTCATTAAAAACATTATCATCTCACTCTCTTTTTAAAAATGAAAGAATTGTATGGTGTTATATGTGTTAATCTCAAACTGTGGGTGTTAGATATGTAAAAACAAAAGAATTGTATGGCATGTATGTAAATTTCCCTAAAATTTAAGAAAAATGTCTTCACATGCATTCAAGTCAATAAATTTTTCATATTACATTTATTATATCATAAGAAAACATAAAATTGATCCACACATTGCGCTGATGCACTCTCACAGAAAAAAAAAAATAAATGTGAATATGAAGTTCGGATCATATCCAATTGCTGTGATAACTATAGAGGTGCAGTTACTTGATTTCATTCTCTAACCTCTCGCTTTGAAAACTAGGTTTGAATTCCGACTAACCAAAATGGATTAGAAAAAAGATGAAGGATTGGCAATCTCAGCGTAAGAATGCCTTGAATAATTGTAACTGAGTAACTTTATAACGATAAATCAGGATTTTAAATCCATTGAACACGAATTCAATTTATACTTCAAATAAAAAATACAAGAGTTAAGTAACACAAACAAATCAAATTACAAGACTAAATTTAATAAAATAATTAGGCTTCTGCATACTTTCACTTGGTAGATAAATTATATAAACTAGTTGATAATCATCATAACATGAATTAGAACATGCAAGGTACCGTGCTTTGATCATTCTGATCAATAGTGAAGAATAGCAAGACAACAACAGAAGTGTGATAAAATAAACAAGAAGAAGAAAGACTGAGCTAATTAAGATAAGACACAGAAATTTTCCACAGGCCGAAACCCTAATCATAAGGTAGCTAATAATGCTTTCCTGGCTACCAGGGTGGAAAATAAACATACGTCGAGAAAAAAGAAATAAAAAAAATCAACCTACAAACTCATCAGATTTAAGTTTTGACCAAAATACGAAGAGAAAAACAAAGGTAAAGGAAAGGTCTTCCCATGAGCTTCTCTGCTGGCTACTTCTTCCAATTTAATTAAATCATTAACGGTTACACTAACCCAATTATTGTTAACAGTAACGAAGTATTAGTCTGATTACGTCAACTCTTAACCACTCCTTAATTAAAACTTAAAATCCCGCCATGCGTCGGAGACTAGACACAGCCGCGTAATCTACGGAAGATTAGGCACGGAATTCCCGCCGCAACCAGGGCACCGATCAGTTCCATTAGCCCCATAGTTTTCACAATATTTGCAAAAGAAACCCCGCTCTGCGCTCGATGATGCAATGAAACACACTCGAACAACTGCGAAACTTAAAAAAACTCCATCCATCGGAGCTTACAAATTCAACCCTCAAGCCATAAAACTATTACGAATTTGCCACTCCTTAAGCGAAGATAACGAGTAGCAGAGCACTCACGTTGAATCGGCCGGCGGCTTATCGCCGGGATCCGCCGCATGACCCTCGCTTGAGCTCGACGAGACTGCATCGCCGCCGGATCTCGCTGCAGCGGAACCGACAGCTTCGCTGAAATCCTGCGGCGGGAGCGAGCACCACGTGTCGTGTTCTTCCTCCCGAATCCTCGGCGGGGCCCATCCGAGCCCTCCGCCGTCTCCATCACTGCATAGATAAGCGATTCCTCCGCATCCATCGCCGGAGAAATCCCATTCGGGAACGCCGTCGTTCGAGCCGATCTTGTTTTCCATCAACAACCGCGCGCTCAGATCCGATATCCGCTTGCCGCGGATTTCGATCGGGCAGATTTCCAGATTTCAGTCGGGGAAACAACAGCTTCTGCTTCCTGCTGCTGCTACTTCGCTTGGCTTCGCTTCGCTTCTAATGAGTGAGAACTGAGTACCCACTCCTCCCTTTTTATTTTTTCCGCTTTAATTAATTTTTTTACTTTTTTTAAAATATTTTTCGGTACTTTTAATTTTCCTTTTACTTCGCGGGTTTTGGAGTGGACGCGTCGAGCTTCTTTAACCTTTTTGAAGCTTCTCCCACTCGAAAGCTTGATATATATATACA